ATCATTGATGGACTCAAGTGTGGCAGCGGTAGTGAGGTTGGCCCAGGATTGGACATTGTTTCGTTCTGCTGTGCATGGGGTCGCTATGAGTCGGTTCGGACTCGAAGGCACCTGACAACAACAACAACTACTTTATAGTTAGAAAAATAAGAATTTCATGAAAAGTAAAATCCATTATACAAATACAGTCAAAGACACTGAATTAGAATTGACTTCTCAACCATCTTTAACCAAAAAACATTATTCCTCTTTAAAGAAGGTAAAAAAATTACCTATTTCAAACATACTGAAGATAAATATCAAAGCATCATTAAATGGTGAATAGCGCTGAATCTCTCTAATCTCTTTGCATTTTTATTGTTCTTATATGCTGGTGAGTTGGTTCCGATTCATAGCACCCCTATGCACAACAGAACAAAACACTCCCCGTTCCTGTGCCATCTTCACAGTTGTGACTGTTACGCTTGAGCCCATTGCTGCTGACACTGTGCCATTCCATCTCGTTAGGAGTGGAGAGGGGTCTTCTTCTTTTCTGCTGACCCTCCACTTTACCAAACATGATATCCTTCTCCAGGGACGGTCCCTCCAAATACCATGTCTAAAGTAGGAAAGATGATGTCTTACCATCCTGGCTTCTGAGGAGCATTCTAGCTGTATTTCTTCCAGCACAGATTTGTTTGTTCTTCTAGCAATCCATGGTATTTTCAATATTCTGTTCTAACACCATAACTCAAATGCATTAATTCTTCAACCTCTTTGCATTAATTCAAATAAAAATAAAAGTATGGCTTTTAGTAAGTCTTAAAATAGCTTCATTATTTCTTTAAAATACTAACTTAGAATTCGAATTTGGGGAACTAATGTCATTTGGTTTTAAACAGAATTGTATTCCATTATCAACATTAAAGACATAGCATGAAAATGTCATTGTCGCTTGAAGTTATCTCAAGCTTCTGGCTACCATGTGACACTTGCCCAGTTCCAGCAGAAAGTCTGCAGAACTCATGAATCCACTGTCTAAGCACGCTGGCCAATGACAGAAGACCATCTTACTTAAACTTTTGCAGTCATAAAGGTAATACAGAAATAGAGGTTCTTATAAACATTTTGTTTCTATTTTTAGTAACAAGATCATTAATACTTTATAGTTGTGGCAAACATGATTTAAGGAATAAAATCAGCAAGAGAGCCTGGTTAACACAGTTGAAATAAGAAAGAATGTGCTACAATTTTTAAAGGCACAGCATTCCTTAGGTTTCAAGCAAGTTTCATCGACCCTTATCCACTAGAACTGCGTCCAAGAGGCCACCTTCCAAAGCGGGGATAGCCTACATCCGGCTCTAACGCACTACATAGGTCTTGGGGTACATGTTTAAACTTGGGCTGAACAGTCGCATGGACACTATAAAGATGGTGATCGTGCAATGCCACTTGATGAAATGCCTTGCCTTCCTTCATGATTTCTTCAATCTTTTAATCAGTGGATAAAGGCTTTTCTAAATAGTCTGAATCTTTCTAGTTCATCTCCTGGAAAAAGGTGGAGTGCCCCATTAGCAGCTAAGAATGATCGGCAGCCATATTTCCCTCCCTTCTAATCCACGATCCAAACAAAACTGGTACAAGTCTGATCTGAGAGAGAAGCAAAGTTTTCTAGTCTTCTTATTTTGTAGAACTGCGGGGGTGCCAACCAAATTGCTTTTGAATTGAAACTTTCAGTTGCTTCCAATGGAGATGACCACTGGCAGCTGACCACTGGCAGCTCCCCACTTTGGTCTCATCCAAGCAGGTGGCTGGCAGCTCGCATAGGCAGCACAGGAAGAAGGCCATGTGGAAGCATCTGCCGCCCAGGCGAGTGAAGGGTGTCAGCCAGGTGCTCCAGTTACAGCACCCAGATGTAGGGTGTGCAGCCCAGATGCACACACAGGCTCAGGAAGTGGCGCAGGTCGCTGTGGACCCAAGCACACCAATCGGCCACGCCAGGCGGTGGCGCGAGGGCGCAGCCAGGCTCCGGCCAGAGCCCCGACCCAAGCCCAGAGTCAGTGTAGCAAGAGCAGACCCGCCTCTTTGAAGGTCTCGCGATGGCACAGATGAGGAATGCTACCTCCGTTGGCTTTTTGAATCCAGTTCTACTGCTTTTCAGCTATGAGTCTCTGAGGTGATACTCCAATGTGCACAATGAAGGTATCAGTACTGCAAAGAAGGCACAATGTGTATCACAAACCATGCAGCACTGCTGAGAAGATTGTTGGCAGTAAATGCACAGGGGCTCCTACAGAGCCTGGTCTCTCTCTGACTCTGCATAAACAATGCAGTTTTTCCTCCTTTTTTCTTAGTTTGTCTCTTTTATAAATTAACTGAAGTCTGGGGGAAATGTGGTAAGTTTATGCATAAACTTAAGAGAGAGCAATGGTGTGGCTGAGGATTGAAGCACATCAAGTAGTTTCAGAGGCTATAAATCTGCTGGAGCAGAAAGCCAATTTCAGCCATCTGAAATTGATCAAACATACAATCAAGATGCATTGATAAGTACTGGTGAATGGAATGGCAATGTTGGAAACAAGGAGGAAGGATCAGTAGTTGGAAAATGCAAGTGGACTTTAAAAAGTTCAAGGGAAATTTCCATTATCCTTTAGTTTTTAGCTTTCCATGAACTTTTTGAAGCCCTTTCGGATAGCTTAGGTTATAGAAACTGTGTTAGAGATTGCATGATGGAATTTTGCAAGACCAGCAACTGGAAATACTGCTTTTCAGCAATGTCAATGGTAAAACTGTATCCATAGAATCTCCCCAGAAGGAACACAGGAAGCAAACTGACTCCATCTGTGGAAAGAGACGATCTGAGCCACAATATCGGCATTCAGAACAAAGCCAGGGAACTCTTCATCCGCTGGCCTGCAAGCCCTGTAACATCTTCAGAATGTGGCTGGTGGTTACGATTCTGCTGCTTCCTAGCTGATCTTGGGAAGCCTTGTCATGGTGAACATATCATCACTAGTGTTTTTTTTTATCCGGCACAACAGCTGGTAGGCTCAAACCGCCAACCTTGTGGTTCGCAGTCCAGTGCTTATCCTACGGAGCCACAGGACTTCTGACGTGTGGCAGAGAGTGTATAAAGGAAATAACGCATGGTCCCTTTTAGGCAAGGACAGGGGAGGAGAGAACAGGAGGGCTCAGGATTCACACCCATCCCAGTGTAGTCTGTGTATGCATTGCTCATTTGTTCCAGTATCTTTTCAGTTGTTTATTCTCTTTCTTCCCTTGTCATTACTGGACCCTGGGGCATAATAAGTGGCAATTCCCTTCAAAGAGTTTGCCTGGGTGGTACCAAGGATTAACAGGGCTCAGATTAGATGTTCAGGTCCACCCAGAGGCAAACCGCTTCTAAAAACCAGCCACTGAAAATATTCTGGAGCTCAGTTCTCCTCTGACACACACACGGAGTCACCATGAGTCAGAGTCCACGAGACAGCAACCATTTTTAGTGGTGATTCAGCATGTACAGTCCACAGAGGGGATCAGAAACACAAATGGAAATGCTAACACTTAGGGTGGGGGGACCGCGATAGAGGAAATCTCCAAGACACTCTACACTCTAGGAACTTTAATGGCATGTATGTTGTTGTTGCTATTGTTAAGTGCCATCCTACAGCAGCTTATGGTGTTGTTATGTGCTGTGCAGTCGGTTCCAACTCATAGCGACCCTATACAGGGTTTCCGAAGCTGTAAGTCTTTACGGGAGCAGAAAGCCTCATCTTTCTCCTGCGGAACAACTGGTAGTTTCGAACTGCTGACCCTGAGGTTAGCAGCCCAATTCATAACTACTTACGCTACCAGAGCTCTTATAGCGACCCTGTGTAGAGTTTCTGAGGAGCCCCTGCTGACTTGAACCACCAACATTGCGGTTCAAACCAACCTTGTGGTCCAGTACTTATCCTACAGCACCAAACCAGGACTACAGACATACATTCATATATATACACACACACACACAAACCCACTGCCAGCAAAGCGGCTGGCTGCTGAGCTTGAACCGGGGTCTTTGGTTCAAACCGACTGTACGGTCCAGTACAGCACCACACCAGGACCTGTGGTTAGCGTCCATACATACATCAATTATATTTGTTTATTGTTTTCTTCCCCTCATTGAGATGTTGCTGTTACTGTTAAGTGCTTTGCCATGAGTTGTTTCCAACTCACAGTGGCCCTGTGCAGGGTTTCCGAGGAGTAGCTGGTGGGTTTGAACTGCTGACCTTGTGGTTTCAACTGACCTTGCAGTCCAGTGCTTATCCTACAGTGCCACACCAGGACTCCCCTCATTGAGATACACATTCTAATTCCAATGCCTAGAACACACTAGGAAATACTTGCTGGAGTGAGTGGATTTTCTTAATTGACCAGACATTTACCATTTGGCGTTGGTGGCGATGTTCCGTGGAGTCGGTTCTGAGTCTTTGCAACCCTGTATAGGCTTTGTGAGGCTGTCAATCTTGATGGAAGCAGAAAGCCTAATCTCTCTCCCTGGGAGAAGCTTGTGGTTAGCAGTCCTGCTTGTAATCCACTAGAGCAATCAGGGCTCTGTTGAGCACTGTTGTAAAATACTGCTTTACAAAGAGCTGCTGTCTCTGAATGAGTGGATATCCTTGGCTTTCCCTGATGCACACATTTATCTCTTCTGTTTTACTTCTTTGCTTTGAAGTAGTCATTGTTTTGAGCAGCTGGGATCCTACCTCTTGTTATAATGTTTCTATTTTTCTTTGGTTTGTGGCTCATTGTTTTGTTTATGTAACCCTCCTCCCTCCACGTGGTTACGAATTGGGCTGCGAACCTCAAGGTCAGCAGTTCAAAACTACCAGCTGTTCCGGGGGAGAAAGATGAGAGGCTTTCTGTTCCTGTAAAGATTTGCAGCCTTGGAAACCCTGTGCAGGGTCGCTATGGGTCGGAACAGACTCAACGGCACTTAACAACAACAACAACAACAAAGATTTACAGCCTCAGAAACCCTGTACAGGATCGCTATGAGTCGGAACCAACTCCATGGCACATAACCACCACCACCACCTCCCACCACAGTTCTGTCTCCCTGAGGTGGTTTGATGGATTAGGTCTAGCTCTGCTTACTTTCTGGCTTCTGGAGTGGCCAAATCTTGTGCATGATATATGCCCTTAAAAATACATGAGGAGTTGAAATGGGTGTAGGGGAACCCTGTGCTCACACTGAAGTGATGGCCAGTCTTTCAATGAACAAGTTGTTGCTCACCGACCAATGCCAAAGGAAGCAGCAGTCAAGAAATCAAATACTGGATTTGCGGCCTTGGACAAGTTAGCACTGAGGTTTTTTGTTTTTTTAACTCTTAACCAACAGAACTGTGTTCTTCAACAATTTAGGAGGCTAGAAGTCGAAACTCAAGAGTGCTGGCTCAGGGTGTCAACCAACATCCATGGGACCAGCATTCCTTGGCAATCTTTACGTGTCTTGGAATCAATCTTGCCTTGGATCTCGGAGCGTCACAGTACAAGGATTCCAAGGTCCAAAGGATGAATTTAATTCCTGGCTCATCTCTCTTGGTAGTGGTATAGGTCCCTCCTCAGCTCCACTGGATGCTGGAACAGTGGACCCACACCTACCAGTGGTCATGAAGATGGGGATGGACCAGGCATGGTTTCCTTCTGCCACTTGGCAAGTTGGGCTCCTGGTGTGGCATTGTAGGAAATGCACTGGACTGCTAACTGTAAGGTCGGAAGTTCAAACCCACCAGTTGTTCCTTGGAAACCGTATATGCATGGTCGTTATGAGTCAGAACCAACTCAACAACAGCAGCAGCATGCAGAAGGTGCCCGTGAGTGGGAGCTGACACAACAGCCACCATTTGCTGATGGCCTGCTTGGTACTACTCCGTAAGTTTTTTCATGGGTGCATTTAAAGCCAATGCAATATTCACATGATAACTTAAGTGTTAGGTGGGCATGAATGCTTCTAACGTGCAGAACCAGTATTAAAAACAGAGACCAATTTTAATGTTCTACACTGTTAGGCTAAGGAGCTCTGGTAGCGTAGTGGTTACGAATCGGGCTGCAAACCTCAAGGTCGGCAGTTCGAAACTACCAGCGTTTCCACGGGAGAAAGATGAGGCTTTCTGCTCCCGTAAAGATTTACAGCCTCGGAAACCTTGTACAGGGTCGCTATGGGTCAGAATCTACTCGATAGCACTTAACAACAGCAAAAACATACTATTAGGCTGGTGTGGCAGTGTGAGATAAAGCACTGGACTACAAGGTCAGTTTGAATCACAAAGTCAGCAATTCAAACTCACCAGCCACTTCTTGACCCCATACAGGGTCACTGTGAGTAGGAATCGACTCAGTGGCACTTAACAACAACAACCGTATTAGGCTATGTTACCTGTTGTCAAATTCTGGAATTTTCATTACAAAAAGTTGGTTGTTTTTCTGCTGGGAAAGACTCTGCTTGTGAATTTGCAAGGGGTTGAGAAAAGACCTTTGTGCAGGCTTTAAGATGCCCTGGCTTCTTCCCTTGAAGAGCACGTTCTTGAGGAAGCGGAGTAGCAGCCTCCAGTTGTATTCTTGCAGGAGTGTGAGCAGGCAGAGTGCTGCTGCAGGTCAGCACTGGAAGCCGGATGGTGACTCAGGGAGTTTCTTTGCCCTCCCCGTTGGGCCAGAGGAGCCCTGCTTCTGCCCCCACGCCCCACCCCACCGTACAGTCACTTTATGTGGAAGACCCTGCCTAAGATAAAATGCTTCCAGAAAGCTTGCCTGAATCAGTGACTTAGGAATGTTACAACCTGGGGAAGGGCAGTTTCACTGCATTTGTCTTTTGGCATTTTCCAGATTGCACTGAAGTTACTTTTGGTCTTGGTTTAAGTCTCGGTTTTTAAACTTTCTTCCAAATGTGCTTATGACTTAAAATGAAGAACCTGAAATATATAAATACCAAATATAGAATTACCCAGCAATTCCACTCCTGGGTGTATACATCCAAGAGAAATGTACACATAGAAACATGTACCCGGATATATA